AGACCATTTATAAGAGCAGATCCAATCGATTAAATGCAACAAAATTGTAGATAACTTAAAAAAAAAAAAAAGGACGGTTCAACGTTCGAATCGGCTTAAAAAATAAATTCAACGGAAACGGATTAAAGCTGAATCGAGATTACTTTCTCCCATTTATATTTTCAATTATCCCACGAGGAAGTAATTTACTTATAGTCCGCCAATATCGAAGGAGTCACGAAAATATTATTTGCGGTTTCTCCCTGTTTCCCTTTTGGTTAATCGAGGGAAAAATTACGAGCAGGAGAAAATAAAAAGCAGCGAATAATGGACGGTTCTGATTAAATTTCAAATAGCATCGCCGGTTTATCAGGGTCAGTATCGAGGAAATCGCACTTTCTCATTCCGATGGCTCGTTTTGCTTTCGTCCGCTGATTTTTCGCGGGTAAAAATAGAAATAGAAGAGTTGGCGTGCAAGGTGTGTGTTATGCAAATGAGACGACAATGAATGTTTTTGTATCGTGGAAATTTTGCGACGAGACGACAGATGTAATGATGATGGAACTAAATTGAATGTGGTAATTAAACTGGAAACTGTAGCTTTTGCGACTAAAGAATGGTTAATTGAGGGAAAAATGATGGAACGTGACTGTTTTGTCAGTTAATTGTTGTAAATTATCGGAATTTCTAGAGGGAGACTTAATTTAAAAGGCTGTGAGAAACTTGATGTTAAATTGAACGATATCTTCAATAAATATAAAAATTATAAATTGATTATTTTTCAAAAAAATTTTTAATTTCTTAAATACGATAATCGACTCAAAATTCAAAGTTATTTTAAATCTGATATAATTCACAATCTAAATCATGATGTAAAGTTTTGAATCCAAAATTTCTCTATCTTATAAAATTTCGTGTCTATCAAATTTTAAGATTGAAATCTAATATCCTAAATTCTACGAATCAATTTCTAGAATCCAAAATCTGATTTTTGAATTCTAAGATCTCGAGAATTTTTTAAAATTTTTTCAAAATTTTCAGTTGAGAGATAAAACTTCGAAGACTAACATCCAAATCATCATTCGAACAAATTCCGTGTCTATCATTATTATAAACAGGAGAGAATTCGTAATTTCCAAATTGCCGTTACAACCGGTCGTTTGTGTAATTTTCGTGCCATAAATTTTTCGTCCTCGGCGAGAGCGCGGTTACGAGCGGCAATTTTAGGACAGGGCGATTCCGCGAATAGACCACGCAGGACGCTTAGCGATCTTTGACACGCAAATGTACTCGTTCTATCGTTTAAACCCATTTCTATCGCATGCTGGTGCAAAGAGATCGTTAACCCTTGCCAGACCGATGCTCAATTATTTACTGACTCTATACGTTACCTTCCTTACGCGCGAACAATCAGACGAACGTTAATATAAATTTATCCTCGACTGTTTTTGATCATTCTGATGAAAATTTATGCCATTATGACGAAATTATAACGAAATGAATAAATTTTAAGATTATTCCACCATCAATGATAATTACTAAACAAAACGTAGAATCCAAATTAAAATGAAAATATTCTAAATTTAACATAACCTAACTCTCAAATCTAACCCTAATTGTAGTCATTATATATAATCTACCAACATTCAAGATTTCAAGATTTTAATGTAGCAATCAATGATAAAGAGTAGAGGATGTACTTTCAAAGTCTAAATCTAAGTCTAATAACCCATCACGGTAAAATGTTAGAATTTCAAACATAAGCCCTAAACGTCTCCCGGTTCGTCCGAACAATTTCTATTACGTGCAAGCGTTGAGATCATTACCCCCTCAGCACGGTAATGTTCGGTAATCAGGTGTATTTTAACGAGTAGCCGCAGCGGTTCGCGACTTACTAGATGCCTGAACACATTTGCGTGGTTACGTTATGCAGGTGTACATGTACAGGCCGTTGAAATGCCATTTCTGAACGACACGAGATCGTTGCACTCGCTTAGACGAAAAAACTTCCTTCGTCGACCGACAAATCTACTTGTTTTTTTTAATCAAATTAATTCTCATACTATGCTATTATATTTTTTAATAAGAAAAATTTGTTTATGATACAGTAAATAAATAAATATATTATAAAAATCTCAATTTTATAATTTTTTTAAAAATATAAATTTCCTAACCTCAATCTATCTAACTAATCTCCAAATCAATCAAATCGTAACAACTTAAACTTGATTCACTTATCTAAACATGCTAATTACATAAAATACATAATTAATTCTTATGTTTGCAATTAATATTCAATTTCCTAACCTCAACTTATCCAATTAATCAACCAAAGCCTTGACTCACCTATATATCTGAACATACCAATTAGATTAATATAAAATTTCTTCTTGCCACTTTCGTCCGCCAATAAAATTGAAAATCCGTTACACATCAGATTTATATCCGAGATATGAGCAAAACATTTTGATAACCCGTCAAAAAGTGCAATGATTCGATGGCAAAAAGTGTTTCATAGCCAAGAAAATAATGACGGCAATAACTCGGCAACAATAAAGCACAAACGGCTCGTTCTACTAATTAGAAGTATATCGCGTTAGCAGTTCGACGAGCAGGAATGTATAACCGAAGATACGAGGTCGTCGACACGTTGCTATCCGCCCCGTTACAATGTAAATATCGTACGCAACACAGACGAGAAACGTGCTCCTATTATACCTTTCTCCATTCCTACCAACCTCGTCTCTAAGCCGGAGGGAGTAATTAATATCAATGGATAACGATATACGAGATATTTTCGAGATTACTTGGTTTTTAATAGATATGAAGAGATAATGTTTCGTTTGAGTCAAATTGTAAGAATTGAAGAATTTTAAAAAATTAAGAGATTAAAGACAATGATAATTTAATGTATAATCCGCAAACATGATCCGTGAACGATCCGTGTTAACATTAATTAGGACGAAAAATAAACGTAATGGTTTTAACCGAATTCCATATTAGAAGAGAAACGTTTCGATCTAATGACGCTCGCTTAATGACAGTCATGTTAATTATGCTCTGCTTACCATTAATTGCATCCGTATAGTGGTGTGGATTTTCACGAACAAATCAGAATTGAAGACCGATTCTCTTCTTTCAAGTAGCTTTTTTTCAGTTTTTCTTGCACAAAAACTGGATCATCAGAATAAAAACGTTGTATTAAATAACGTAAATTAAATTTGATGACGTTGATTCAAAATTTTAAACGTGATAGTTATATGATCAAAATCAAGATTCACAATTTTATTTAATGTCCTAACCTTAATCATGGTATGAATAAAATATAGTTCATATTCATGACACTACATCAAAAACTATATAAAACTACAAATTAAATCAACAAATATTTCAGTTTTAATGAACAATAATAAATATCATTACGTTTATGATCACTTATAACAAAAGATTAACGAGAAAAACGATAAAACGCAAAGAACATATCCACTTATTGGGTTACAACTGAACTCCAAGAACTCTATAGATGTCGCTTCTTTTGCGGTCGCGTTTCAATAGGGAAAAAAGGAAAAAAGCAAAAGTTCATCGTGCGATTATTGATGCTATTGGTGCATGCGTGCGCGTAAATCGCATTTTGCAAATAAGATTTCGCAGTGAAAAATACGTTTCTCTAGCATCCGTCTACTAGGGAATAATGTACGACCCACGTTTACCATGGAACAGACACAACACATTGCAACGCATCGTCGCTCTCATAGAAATCCGTCGAGACGTTATGTTCTGTGTACAATGGCACGTGCAGAGAATCATGAAAACGACAAGTTTAGTTCGTGGGATGTCGTTTCATTCAAGACTTATCGAGATTTGCTCGTGATTTATGTTGTCTGATGTGTCATCGTTGTTTGGATGGTGGAATTTGAGCTTGCAAGAGTTCATGAATGACTGTTAAGCTTAAAAGAACAAATGGATATTTCAAATCTTTTGTGAGAAAGTATGTGTTTCATATATGTACCTTACTTTGTAATCTGATTTTTATTATTTTAATATATATTTTTATTTAGAAGAAAAAATAAATTTCTTAATTTTTAATTCTTTTTTTAATTAATTAAATAAAAAAATTTTGATATTGTAAAGATGTCTAAAATATTTCTAAAATGTTCATTCATTTGGAAGATAAAAAAGAATAAATGCTAACATATACCTATAGGCGCCGCAAGCTAAAAACGAATAAAATGAGATCAAAGTTTGAACTAACGTTTTCTTTCTGTTCACGAAGAAACCCAATCGCCAAGGATCTAATGCTTCCCGACGACGAAGCATCGCAGGGGCTTTCTTCCTTTTGGACGCGTTGTATCGATTTCCGCGTCGCGGAAACCACAGAATCCCCGAACAAGACCGGTCGCTTTCGACCCGAAACTCTGAAACCTGAGACATACAACGTCTCCTTCGAGGGACAGCGAAAAAGGATGTGGCACTGCTTCTACACTCACCATCGTAACGATTTTTATTGTTATTCATATCCACTCGGAGTTATATTTCAATCTAATTATTATAAGAATTTATAACAAATATAAAGTTGAATTAAAATATTTTAATTAGATAAATAAATTGTTTAGTTTATTCAATACATTCTAAAGATAAAAATAAAATAAAATCGTTATATAAATACTGCAATATTTTAACAAATATAAAATATATATAAATATCCTAATATTCCAATAAGTAAGAATCCAATATTGCAACTCAATAGATATTCTAAGATCAATATGCTAATAAAATACTTCAATACTCTATATGCAAATGCTTCAATGCATCAGCATATGAATATTTCAATGTTTAATATTCTAATATAAGCAACATAGTATTCCTACATATTCTATTACTTCAATGTATCAAACATATCAACGATCAATGTTTTAATATTATTCCAGTAGCATAACCTATCTATCCTAATATAATTCAATATTTCTTTATATGATTATCCTAATTACCTAAATATACATGATCTAGATATATAAATATACCACTATATATGTAAATACTTTATTATTCAGCATTTCAATAAGTAAACATTATATATTCACATTTATCATGTCCCAATGTATGAAATTTCAACAATGTAATTATATAAATTTAAAATATCTTTTTTCATTAATTCAATAACACATATTAATCATAATATTTAAATATAAATCCTACAATCATTTTTAACAATGAGTATATTTGATTCCTTTAATTTTTAATCAATCTTATATGCAATATTTTCATGATCATCCTATTGATCCAATAATACACGTAACCTCTAAATACTTATGTTTTTTCTTCCATAATCATCCTTAATTATTAAATATCAAAACTCAAACTATGAGTCCATGATTCTTCCACTTCCACGGCATCAAATAATCTATACAATTACGCCTACGAATGCCACAACATCCATTCAAACTTAATTTCTCATCAATTGTCTAGATATGTTCTCTCTCACACAATCGTCTTGCCAATAAATTAGATTCCACAGAATGTTTTCCACAGGACCGTTTCTACTAAGTACATGTGTTACTCTTGCCCCATAGATAGCAGATCCAGCGTGGAACGAGGTAGTGCACCATGGCGCGGCGTGGGACGAACGCATTGTTCGATCCAACGACGGTCTCGACGACATGCGCCAAGAATAAAGAGTATAGGTTAGTTTTCATAGATACTGCCTCCATAAACGCCAAACGCTATTCGTGGATTATAATTTGTGCTTCGATAATGAAGGATAATAAAACGTCGTGTGGGATTAGTTACGTCAATTTATCCTGGAGAAAGAGGATATCGCTTTCTCTTGCTTCCTTCCTTAATCCATCTTTTTTGCTTATCTCTTCTTGTCTTTCTGTAATGTGAAATTATTAAGAATTTGAAATTAGAAGGAGAGATAGTGATGGATTGAAATTGTCTTGGGAAATCACTCTTGTTCGATCGAGAATTCTATGAATATGATAGTTTGATCAGAATTACCTTGGGATAGTGTAACTCTAATGATATTCTCTGAGAAATTGAATAAATCAAAGTTAATGAAAATTTTAATATATCTAAATTTAATATATCTAAAATTATATTGAATCATTTGAATGTGCAAGATCTTCAATTTAATTTTTTTTTATTATTATATTCCATATATAATCTTTATTAAACATTCAACGATTCATAACATTTATTCCTCTTATTTTAATGGAACATAAAACAATTAGAAAAGATCAACAAATCAAGATTCACATCCTCAACATCAAATCAAAATATTCCAGAAATATTTCGCTACGAAACTGATATTATGAAACAAGTTTTCTTCTTCGATTATGATATACGCAATTCTCATTGTATGCAAACTATCCTCCTTGATCCATAATCCCGTATTTTTTTCCGGTTATCTACTCGTAATTAATACCTGAAGGAGACACAAGGCGAGAAACATGATTCCAAACGATCCAGATAATCGGTGCGAAAAAGGCGTGGAACCGGATGCCAACAATCGTTTCGCCAATACCTCTTGATTTTCTGGAATTCCAACTAGAAAACTAGAAAACGATTAACACCATATATCGAACACTTATATTTTCGTACTAGCGAACGATGGCTATGCCATAAATGATCGATCCACAGATCGGTGGATCGGTAATATTAGAGATACAACACGCGATACAAGAAGGAATTGCTCAGCCTGATCATTGGCCAGGGTCGAGGACGATCATTTGTGATTTGCAATGGCGTAGCACGCTACCGATCGCAATTAAAAGATCCGATATGTTGGCGTTATCGTCGATAGAAAGGTTTTACGGTCCATAGATCGAGAGTTATCGTGATCGATTGGCGATCGTTTAATTATCGACGCACAGCGGTTCATTGCTACTCTTGCCATCCCTCCCGCCGGAAATTAAAATTAATCACGAGACTACGAGAAATTACGTTGCAACGCTTAATGAAACCGAGCTAGATAACGGCTTATGTACGAGAGATTGACCGTTATTGCTACTGCTATTTTTCTGATAGTATGGATGTTTTCTTTCCTTTTGTGATGGATATTTTTCTTTTTCTCTTTTTGCTTTTATATTTTTGCGAAGAATTTAGGAATTCTATTGGCAACGATAAATATAAATTGTAATAATATATATATTAATGATAAATATGAATATTTTTAAATGAATTTATCAAAATTATATAAATATTAATACAAAATATTAAAATATACAAAACTATATTTGTTAAAATTACAAATAAATATTTATTATTTAATTATTAATTATACGAACGATTGGTAATGATTATTATTATACGAAAGCAATTGACATTTTTGATTTCGATAATTTTTTAATAGAATTTTTTAATAGAAATCAATTAGAAATGAATAATTTTTATGAATACAAAAATTTTTTTATATGTAATCACTGCTTTATATTAATTTGTTAGAAAATTGTTTAAAATACAGAATAATTTCTTTACATCACTTAAGGATAGAAAATTTTAGGTTAAGCACGTCATTGATGCAACGATCATATATATTTCTCAATAGTTTATCAAATTAATCCATTCGAGAGAATTTTATTATTATTATAAAACAATTCTCAGGAATCAATTTTTACAACTTTTTTTTATTTTATTCGTTTTATAATCTTATCTCTATTAGTTTTCACCAAATGATTATATATATTTTATATCTTCAAAACATATACGTTACATTATTCTTTCTTTCTGTTGTATTACATATGAAATGCTATCAGTCTCGAATGGATTAAGAGAAACTAGATGATAATTTATCGAAAACAATATTCATTCAAATCAGCATTTAGAATTTATCATTTAGATTAAGTAGAAATCAATATAAAAAACGAAATTATCACTCGATTTTTTACCTTTCCAACAATCTTACAATTAATTCACACACAATTTCACTATTACTGTAACTATTACACACAAAATAAAATTTCGTTGAAAAGATATTTGCTCGTACTGTCAGCACATAACGTATGACTCATTGCATAATACTTTATTGGCCACATGAATGTTAACACGCATCGAGTTTTTATGCACAAGTTTTTCGGTATCTCGCATTGACGTAACTTTACGTGTATGAACTTTCACTCTTGCCAACTCTCGTATCTTGAAAGCATAATGTTTCTAATGCTTTCTTCCAAGAAAATAGGTACTCGAAGTACAAACCGATTACGTGTACCGAATAACGCGAATATAGATATGCGAGTACGGTTTCTATCGACTAGAAAGACTTATGCGATTTATGCCCCACGGGAGCACGTATCTCACGATTGGACTGAATTCTAAAGGCCGATAAACCGACTCATTTGTCCGTCGAATGATCCGGCAATTGAACGATTATTTCGTTATAAATCTTAGACTCTAGGCGAGTAGAAGAGAAAATTATCTGTTGATCGACACGATGCGGATTTCGACAGATCGAAATGTATAATTAAAGAGGTTAAGTATGTGTGAAATGGCGATGCTTATTAACCTCTCACTGTCGCCCTCTGTGCGTCATAGATTCGTTTCTTTACATTCGATCGTTTTCTATACATCGAATAAAATTGAATTTTTTTTTATTTTATCTCTTCATAGTATATAGAAGTAATATGAATAAATATGTGTTCTGTGTTAAAAATAAACAGTGTAAATTTCCTCAAAACTATTTATCTCATCTAAAATCTCTTCGTTTATATGGAAAGAAGATTCCAACTTCATCATTGAGAGGTTAGAATAGATATTTCATTTTCTGAAAAAAGCATTCTAGAATTGAAAAATATACACATATCGTCGAAATACTTCTTTCTCGTATGTATTTGATTATATTTTAATACGTTAGCTGCCATGCCTGTCTTTCTTCAAATGTCATTATACATTGTTGAAATTGTTTGTTGAATTTCAAAAATTTATTTCATATAATATTGCATTTAACTATTGCTATTTACATACTTTTAATATTTTTGATGTTATTTATATAAAAGAATCTAAAATATTTTGATGATAAAATAATATAAAGTACCGATAAGTGAATTGATATAAAGTAAAAATCATTTTAAATGACCAGTATGTTACATAGCAGCCAACGTGTTGTTTATTTTTTTATTTATTTGTTGATTTATATATCTAATTCTCATTTTAACGAAAACGTACATATTCATTCATTTCGATTGATTTCTTTCTGAACAATTCCAACAAGAAAGTGGCTCCATCTTGGCAATTATTGCTATTACGTAGAATTTTATCGAGATATCGACTCTTATCGATAATTGCACATCGAGAATATAAATAACGAGAAAATAAAATCTTTTCTTCTCATTATTCTTGAAATATAATTTTTCCTTGTCTTTTTTATTTCACGTCGATCATCGAGGGCAAAATATTGTTAGAAGATCGAACAGACGTGGAGATAAAGATCTTCGTTCTGAATGAGGATCCTTCGTTATGATCTCTTCGAGATCTCGAAGAGATTTCGTTGAATCGATAGGAATTAACGATAAGAAAATGGTAGCCTGTTTACCTCGTTTGCCATTTTCTTACGTTATTGTTATCGTTAATTGTAATTCAGTTGACGAGTGGACATCAATTTTGGCATCTATACGATCGAATAATAGTGTTGATATTGATAGCGTGCGATTTGTTCGATTAATCGAGTTTATCGACTGGAATACTAATTTCGGTATATATTCGATTTTGATTCTCAAAAAGCAGATAAATTACAGTCATTGCGAAGTTTAAAATAGGAAAATTCTATTTCAAACTTTTACTTTCATCGATTTTTTTATACATAAATGTGTAATTCTTTTTACCTGTCAAATTAATAGACTTATTAATGAAATAGTGCAGCAATAAAATTTTATCATTTGACAAGAGTGATCTATGTTAAGAAAAATTTCATCAATTCATTAATAATAAAAGGTAATGTCATGTAACTTGTTTATAACTTAATAAACAAACTTCGATTAACATCTTTCTCAATTTATAACCTAAAAATTTTTCAAACTTGATTTACTCGAAAACGAAGCCTCAAACAAAAAAATATCATTCTTTTTTTTCAATTTATTTTTACACGTAGAATCATTATCCATCCCGTTTATACCATGATTTCGGGGACAATCTGTAAATTAATTAACAATCTACCATCTCAAACAAGCCGATTTCTAAAAGTTAAATGAATTTTATGTACCTCTACTGGTGTCATTCGAATGTCAAGACACAGTGTTTATATCCCAGTCAGTACCTAACTTTAGAATCACGTCGGCCATGGCTCTCGCCAACGGTTTACGAGATATTTTCACTTATCACGTAGTGAGGCCAGTCGACGACATCCGCGGACGCTCTCGCAATTAGAAAGTACGCGCGTATTCGCGCGTAATCGTCGCCGTAAGATAATATCTCTTTGGTTGGTTTCGCAAGCGGCGTGTATCTCGTGTCTCTTTTTATTTTTTATTTCTTCTTTATTCGAGAGAGCTAATAGTGAAATTACAATGGGTGACGATTAATCGATAAGTCGGGCCACCTCCCCTCGTTGCCTGTTATTAGACGTACTTACATACGTGGATATCGCGATCGGTAGGTGAAACGAGCTGTTTCGATACCCTGCAATTGAATTGTTCGAGATAGCGGAGGTTGAAAAACAAATTCACGCCCACGAATTCGAGTCTACTTTTCGCGAGAGAGTTGGCAAGCTTTCAAAAATCTAATAAAATAAAAATATTTGTATTTCTTTTAAATGTAATCATAGACTTATTGTCCCCTTTGCGTTTTTATCAGTAGATTTTTTTCTTTATATATATTAATATATACAATTCTTTTGGATTTCGTTACATTTTCTTTTTTTATTATTCTATTGCGTTGAATATTTTAATTGATCGATGCAATATCTATTGGACACAATCACGATACTTTCATTTCACTGATCCAATACTTAATTCCTGCAAATGTTTCAAAATCGACGATTTTTGATTACATTATATCCCAACAAATCTGCCATCAATTTCCAAGCAAATTGCACATATCCTCCCACGCGGAACAGGATTCCTCTCAAATATCTCCGCTTATTCAATAAAAGCCAGAATCAATGAAGACTCGTCTAAAACGATCATCATCCTACCACCATGTACGACTCCATCGGTAGTCCCAACGCGGGTAATCATCGAATGACTGACATCTGAATAGCGTCTATCAATTAAAACCCTTATTCCTCGTCGAGCTTTCCTCGCCGATCGCCGAGAATCGTTCGATTCTTCGACCCGCGGACGATCTTCTCGACGAGGAAAACGATCCTGTCCCATCCTCGACACGTAATTATGCAGGACTGGTGTGGTTATGCAATGGCTAGGCGAGGCCCGCGCATAGAATATTCAAGTCTCTTTAAGTGTCTTCTAGTAGTAAATATTGTTATGCTAAGCGGAGCCGTTGTCACGCCTTCTCTTGGCTCCTCTCCGCAGAGTAGACGTGGTCTTTCTCTCTACGACCACCTACTGCCAATACCTCGTCCTCCTCTCCCTTTCTTTCCTCTTCAAATCGTTTCTGCCTCGTTTTTTTATCGTATCGACGACGAGTTTTTCTTCCGGACTACTTGATGCGATTTTCACGAAAAAAAAGTCTAAAGTACCGTAAGCCTAAGGGAGCCAAATTGATATAGAACCGAGCGTTACATAATTGCTTACTATTCAGAAGCTGAAATCGTTCGATTTTATTTTCTGTAACATTCTTTGATTCAACCAAAGCATCGAAAACTGTATAAGAAGCAAATAAACTTTCGATATTCCGGAATATTTAAGTCAAAATTCTTTATTCCAGCGATATAACTGCAATTTTAAAAATCACAAAAATATATTTTTCCATTGTTAACGATTAAAAAACTTATAATATTCGAATATCCTCTCTACCTTTACCAAACTTTCTCGCAAAACGAAACCGTGGCGCTTCGCATTCCCTCGCGATTGTCTCCATTACTCGAACAATCGGTACTCCTCCTCCCAACCGACTCCTCGATCGGAGCAATCGGCAAAAAAAAAAAAAAAAATCGCGAAACAAAAGCCAATT